TTATTCTTCCCTGGGCTACTCAAGAAAGACCATATAATACTACGAAGAACATTGAAGGCTGTAAGTAGGGTCAGTGCTATCCCTTTGACTCAGCTAACCGACACTGCTGTCAATAGGCATATGAATTCTTGTAAATACTTAGCTAAAGTTATTTTGTCTGATAGTGAACATCCTCTTTATTCACATTTGTTTCCTTGTATCTCTTCGGGTAAGACCAGAAGAAATTTCATAAACATTTATGCTCGTACTACAAAATATAAAAATTCGACCGTACCATATTTGGCACGAGTATTGTGTGAAGAGACAAATATCAGAAAAGAACTTTTACAGCTTTTAAATCATTAACTAAACTATAAAATGAAATGATGCATATTATTGCATGTGTTATTTGTTATGTTATTTATATATCATTCACTATGACCTAGCAATGGTGTGATTTTGTTGGGTTTTATTTTTATTTTTCCTATTAACTATCAATATTTTAAAATTTTATACATTTATATAATTATAAATAGAGCTAAGCCATTGCAATAGGTAAAAGAAACGCTGAAAATTCCATGCTGTGAATTGTTATTGTTGTGGAATAAAGTGATTATTATTATTATTATTAAGGTTGTGAAAGTAGTGATTGGGACAGTGAAGTGTTTATCACTTAATCCTAACTCAACGATTTAAAGAGACTAATCCTGATGGTCTATGACAAATACGGCACAGTTTCCACAGATTTCAAACAATAAAATCTGTAGATCATTACATCAATGAGACAAAACAAGTAGTTCAGCAGAGAGTCTTTCCAGAGATTTCATGGAATGACAAGCTTCTACGGCTGGTTGTCAACTGAAGGCAAACAAAATTCCATAAGTTCCTTTGACATCTACTTCCGACGGTATTTGAAGCCTTCAGCCTACGGAAGAATTAGAAATCCTCGTCAAAACATCTATATCCATCAAGTATCATTGACAAACAAATTAAACCGAAAGTTCAAACACACGAGACAATGTGAATGACAAAACTGTAGCCCCATACGAACCTTGATTTCAGGACTGAACTAACCAATAATATCCTTAGGAGAACTTCAGTATCATTGAGGAAGAACATTCCCCATGAGAGTGTTTTACAGTCATCCAGTGGTCCATAGAATCCTATAAGATAATATCTCGCATCTGATTACATCTAAGTATATATAGCAGTCCACTTGCTCTTGTGGAGCCAGGTTGTATTATTGATCTTTTAAAGCGTATTTTTTCTAAAAGGGTTTAAGTGGATTATCCCGCATGGCTGCAGAACGGTAGCACTGACTCCATAATAAGTGCAATAATTAAATATTGGTCATTCTGTCTTGATCACTTCATCTTTCAAAGTGAAGCGCAACTTGACAAAGACTACAGTTTCACCTCTTTTGCTCTGCTGTTCACAGAACTGTGTCAAAATAAGAAATGATGGGATGATAGAAAACCCCTGCACAGGAAAGAAACTTGGAGTGTTCAATAGTTGAATTATCACAGCTTTTACCCAAACAGCAACAAACGGACCCTGGTCAAAACGCCATTTAGCACAGCGAGGGTGTTATGTTTAGAAGATAAGACTGAAGAGGAACTTGGAGTTATTCAAAAGAACCATATTGAGAATGGATACCTCTGCAAGTTCATAGCAAAATATGGAAGTGGAAAAACACCTAGACCGAAGCGCCAAGTAGTTCAATAGAAATCAGTTTTTATCTGTCCAGTGTACAAAGGGAAGAAGTATCCACAAGAACGGAAAAAACATTTAAGGGTGCGTTGAAAAGAACATTTCCCGCCACCAGACTCATTCCGCTTTACAACACGGTATGCTCGTCAACTCAGTCAAAAGTAGATAAGTGTCCTGCTCATGTCAATCCCAACTGCATTTACCGATTCCCCTGCATTTTCGTCAAAGGAGAGCATCTGCTAGATTATCCGAGCATATCCCTAAAAGTTTCCATAAGAAAGATAGCAAAGTGATCTCATCAAGTGGAATTGACAATGGAAATCAGTCAGGCTTTCAAAATAATCAATACACACAGAAAATCACGGTCGCTTCGCTTTGCAGAGGCCATTGCTAAACAAAGACTCTGATCCAACCTTTTTATACAGAAAGATAGCTTGATTAGTCTCTCCCTGCCCTAGTTAGTTCGTGTGCTCTTGTGTTGTTGTTGTTTTTTTTCTGTTGCATAACATTCCACTCACTTTTGATTTTCCCTTACCGAGTTGAACTTACTACTAAGTTTCCAAATCTACTTAGTTGTTTTGTCTGTGTTATACTTTTAATTTACTATACACTCCCACCCGATTGAGCTCTCCATCATAATATGTATAAGTCCACTGTTTTTCTATCTTGTATTTTGTCTCTAGTCAATCGTTGTTTCCAAGCTAAATCTGAACTCTACTCCACACTCCTTCCCTTGTCGAATTATACCCTAACTGATACAAATCCGCAGCTATCATTTAAGTCTAATTAATCTATGGAAAATTCAAGTCAATTCAAACCAACCAACCAACTCGAATGCTCCAATTCCACTCCTTAGTGTATGAATACATCAAATGATAATATCTTTCTTAGGCGGCTTTCAAACAAAATTAAAATAAGCAACTTATATATATAAACTGCAGTGACTGCATATTCTGGAGGTTGTGTTTAACAGTGTTTCAAATCTCTGACGCATTAAATGAATCCTGTTAGGTTTAAAGTAAAGGGCAATTAATGTCACATGTTTTAGTGCTTATACTAGTACTCACTATGTAAAATGTTGCCTGCGTTCGTGTTCAACTGTTGAAGTACTCATTTTTAGCATTTGTGTCAGTTCAGAAACGATGAAGGGGTCATAAATTGGTGGATCTTATTGGGACCGTTATTTCATCCGCTAAGTGATTTCAAATTACAATTTGTCAGATAAGATGATTCCCAATACGTGCATCCCCTATTTGGTGATTCGGGTCTATTAGAATCCAGTCGACATTGGAATATCAACCTACCATAAAACACGCAGTTGCTATTTTGACAGTACACTGAAATAACACTTTCCTGATCACCCATCTCTCTAATCATATATATATATATGTTTGTAACCGATGAAGAAAGAACATGTTGATTTTCTCACACATGTTGCTATTGTCAGTCGGAAATGTGAACAATTTAGACTGCGATCTTTGATGGATGACCAATCCAAATCACTAGTACTTATTTGCAATCTATAGTAACCTACGCTCGCTGACATCAGGATGAAGTTGTTGAACCAGAAGATTTGCCGATAAGATTTTCGGCTTTCCTGCTGAATACCAACGACTAAAAAATTTTCAGTGATACACGAGTTTGGTCCATCATGGATGTATGCGAAGCTCAAATAAGTCACCATCATCAACTTTGGCATCGTGGTGTCTGACATTTCTTCTTCGAACAACACTGATTCCGAGACTGTTTTTGCCAGAAACAGGCCCAAAAGTCATCCACCAGATATCACAGCAGATACACGCCTCGATCAGAGTCCCGATTTGTCTCTCACACTCATGCAACTACCCACCGAAAGTTTACTAGTTTCCATGTGAATAATAAAAGCCCGGAGAAAGCACCAATAGAAAAGTATGATGCGAATACTATATACCGCCAAAACCCCTAGACATCTGGGCACCTGTATTTGCTACAGACTACAGATCAGCACATAATAAGTAGTTAGAACTGATTTTGATTCGGAGTGGTAAGGTCATTTAATTATACTGCAGTTGTACAAAAGACAAGAATCGACCACGACGGCAGGCATCTCCCACCAAGAGGAAAACATTCAACAAGTTTCCACTAGATACCCCTAAAATACAACGGGAGGAGTAAGCGTGTTGAGGACGAAATGACATGAGGAACTATCACTCTACGTTTTCCATTACTTCTTATGTACTCATCTGAATCAAGTCTTCTCGGAGGATTATTAGCAAAACACGGCACGCCATGTGTGATTTAGTTTTTCCAGTAACGATACAGTCCACATTGCCATTAAATGTCATCCCAAGAATTCAAGTGACTACACGTATGTCTACATAACGAACACTTACACCACTCCTAATCTTAGATTTTCCAGGCGACGAAAGTGCGTGACAGATTACCAAAAAGAGCTTTCGCCTGTCTCTCACGAAAAATTTCGGCACTCATTCTATTCGTACACAAATGTACAGTTTCTTAAGAATATATGACAGGAATATAGTGGAACACATACGTTAACAAAGACCTAGATGCTATTATCTCTGATGTCAAACACTTTCTCATGTTCTGCTTCGATATGTGTTGAGATTCGACAAAGTTTCCCCTCCACAATTACAGAAGCTTTGAAGAAATAGGCTTTTCAAGAATAATTTATGTTCAAAATGTCATCTAGCTAATAAAAAGTATTTCGCTGTGCAATCGAAATAATAGCACAGTAACACATACGAATAAAACTCCCAACTTTTAAATATACGGAGTACCTTTCAGGGACAAAAACCCGATTCACCTATTCTAGTTGTTGCCAATATCTTGTATCATAAAAATTGATTTCAGTCCAGAACGAAAGTCACGACGCATGTAAATCAACTATATCGGTGACTTTGATTTCTAGAATACTATTGCTGGGCAAGCTAATTTCAGTACGTATTGAACCCTGGATCACAGGGTTCTACGGAAGTTCAAGTTTACATTAAATCCTTCATCTATAAAAATTGAATAAATCAGACAACAGAAATATAAAACGTCTGCATGACAAAGTCGAAGCAGATTGTAGAAGTATACAGACACCTGCCAATGATGATATTACGGTTCCACAACAAAAACGTATCAACAGATTAGTTCACATGTGAAATAGTCTAAAATGTAAACCATCTAGCAGACAGGAAGGAGAACATAGCACGCAGATACACAGGACAATTTCAGCGTCTGTCATTGATGTGTAAGTAACAAAGGTGAATGCGAATATAAAAGACAATTAAAAATAGTCTGAAGGATTTATATATTATAGAAATATGCCATGTGCTGAAAAAACGTGATTCATTCATCTATACGGCAATGACAGTTATTTTCGACTCAATAATGTTTAGAATACAATTTATTGTTCACAATTATCACACATATCATCATTTATTTGTTTCACTCCTTGGAATCCCTGGTAGAATGATATTTCCGAACGCAGATTCTTGAAAGACATAGAAACCGGGAAATTTATCTGGATCCATCTGAAACATTAACTCTATAAAAAGAAATAATGCTAAATTACCTGTACAGGCCTGATACTGTTTAAATAATAGCTGCATAGCATACTAGATAAAGAAGAAGGAAAATACAAGTGCCTACTTTGCACTTCCACTAGATTTGCGTTCCTCCAGTGTATCCAGTGACTTTCGGTTTCGTTTACCTGAGAAAGAAAAAGTGCAAACAATACGAATTAATGACAACTAACAAACTGAGGAATGAACGTTGGCTATTTTCAGGAAAGTGGAACCAGCAATGGATGCATGCAAATTTTCCCACACCTTTCATCTTAAATAGTTCTAACATAAACGGCTTCCTACCTACAATTTCCAGTAGTCTTTATCGATGTAGCTTAAACTAAATCTTACCACTAAACACTAAACTGTTTAATCCAATCTCACATGTGACAAGAATTTGTGTGCATGGCTGGCTGGTTTCAGCATAGAACTTTGCACCGACGTGCAGCAGTTCAAGTCGCCACACTTCACTCAGTACACAAAGCAAGAGAAAGTAAGAAGAAACGCAAAATAGAGACAGTAAACAGAGATATGAGGCAAAAAGAATAGTAATATCGAACAACAATATAGTTTCATTGGAAATCATAGGTCACAAGGAGTGGATGCATCTGAGCCAGCCATTGAGAGCGACTTTGAGCCGTATCACCAATTGTCTCCATCCTTCATTGGTGTTTACCATTCCGAGGACCCCAACCAGGAAGTCTACACCTCCCTACGTGGCTGGCTTAAACTAACTGTTGTGGATTTCATTAACTGGTGCCACGCCTTGGGTTGACCTCCTCTGGCTCTTTTCCAACCTGAACCTATGTCGGCTAACACTGCTCATCGAGGAAGGTGATGGATAGACATACGTAAGACATATCCTAACCATATCAATCGACTTAACTTCACAGCCTCGTTTATTGATTTCACCTCCTAACCTAACCCTCTCATGCCATTTCACACGGGAGATAGAACGCAGGCACATATGATCAAAGACAGCTAATCTTTTCATGTCTTCCACTCTCAATGGCCAGCTCTCACATTCTTTGAAGAAGGACGGAGCGGACTGACGAGCAGTACACACGCCCTTCGGTCGATAGCCGGATATCACATCTGCGCCAGAGACGGCGTAAACTGTCACATACTAAGCTACCCTTCTGTATCCTTGCTGAGATTCCGTCAGCGATCAACCCGCTGGTGTTGGGTGATGCAACTTCACAAATAAGTGAAGTGGTCATCACGTTCTACCACTTCACTCCCTATTTCTAAGCTAGGAGTGAGTCAATGTAGTCCAGTCCTGTAGCATCATCTCACATTTGGCGTGGATACTATAGTTCCAATAAAAGGTTTGAAATCAATGTTGTACACAATACATCGATTATTCAGATCTTCGGTTTGATTAAATCGAAGGTCACTTCGTTTTACTCTCTCCTATGATCTTCCTTGGATAACTGCTCCATATTTGTTTACATTCAAAAAATACTCTGTATACCATGTTACGCAAATAAACTTCAGACTGTGACACATGTCAGTTTCGTCTACCTAATGAGAATTATTCTATGAAGTCTGCATTCTGCAGTTAGTTAAGACACATACATTATAATAAAATTTATTTATTTAAACAATAACTAGCTGTCACAACGAGTCTCCAGCCATTGATTCGTAGGATACCTAGAACTCACGGAAGAACAGTCTTGGTCTTCCTGGGTTAATGCCATGTTTCTGTTCGTCCATTCATGATTCTTACCCAACAGAATCACACGTCAGACGATACTACTTACCAAGACACACATAACACATATTCTAGCTACTTACGGTGGCTATGGAACAATGTAAAACAGCCACCAAGCAAAAATTTTTCATGATTAGGTATGCCGAAATATGGAACAAACTACCTGAGGAAATGCGACTAGCAAGCTCACTGGTGTCCTTTGAAAAAGCTCTTAATGACACACTAAGTGGGTTTGCAAGTGATACCAGTGCTAATTCCCATGTAAGAGCTTCAGAAATTATAGGCCCATTTAATGTATGAACTTAGAGACTACACCTGTTGTTTCTTTTGCCTTTATCTATAATTTCAGACAAAAAAGCAGCAGTCATGAAAATAACACCCATACAAATAAGAGTCGATCGAATTATGTCTACCTGATACAAAGCGTGAACCATAATCAACATACGAATGAAATATGAGAAAACAAGGTCGAAACTTACCACAACATCACATGGAAGAATATAAGTTACTTGGACCTCATTTATAATCCACCAACTGGCCTTCTTTCCAAAAGGAATGCGGCGATATTTTATCCACAGTGATGAGGAAATACATAAATCCACAGTTCCCGTTGTATACACTCAGTGGAAATTGTAGCCAACAAAGTAATGCATTTAAAGCATATGCATACTTCCCATAATCACGGCGACACCGCGGAATATATAAAAATCGCAGCGTAATCAAACCCAACACGCGATATAATTAACTGAATCCGAAAGGCAAACAAGTTGTAGTACGTATTTGAATATTCATCCATATGTCGATCATGATGACAAATCCAAATCACTACCTATACAGCGTCAATAAATCTGAATATCTGTAGTGTACATTGTACCTTTGAACTTTTGTTTGAATGAATGCAACTTCCACTTCCGCTTTGTACTCCGGTTCCTCCTGTACGGTTACTGTCTCGCTCTCTCGCTGTACTTTCACCTAGTACACTCTACGAGCCGACAACCGTCTCACCTCCAGATAAGTGTGTACTTTTTATTTCTTATCAAATTGCATATCTCTTTGTGTAAATATAATTCCGGTCCAGTTACACTTGCCATTTCGAGTCTTCTAACTTTGATTCCGTTCTTTAGTACTTGCACGTAGGCAGAGTACTAATTAAGGTCATAAACGGTGAAGGAGTTTGTAAGAGTGGTTATTGTCAGGTAGAAGTAAACCCTAAGTCTAACTCTTACAAGTGGTGAGCCCGACGTGATCCACTTGTAAGAGTTAGACTTAGGGTTTACTTCTACCTGACAATAACCACTCTTACAAACTCCTTCACCGTTTATGACCTTAATTAGTACTCTGCCTACGTGCAAGTACTAAAGAACGGAATCAAAGTTAGAAGACTCGAAATGGCAAGTGTAACTGGACCGGAATTATATTTACACAAAGAGATATGCAATGTGATAAGAAATAAAAAGTACACACTTATCTGGAGGTGAGATGGTTGTCGGCTCGTAGAGTGTACTAGGTGAAAGTACAGCGAGAGAGCGAGACAGTAACCGTACAGGAGGGACCGGAGTACAGAGCGGAAGTGGATGTTGCATTCATTCAAACAAAAGTTCAAAGGTACAATGTACACTACATATCTATGAAATGACGAAAATATGCTGATAGCTGCATTTCAGATCCCAATGACTCATTCGATAGCAAAATTCTGCTCTTGCATGCCTCTTTTGACATTTTTGTATGGATTGGTTCGCAGTTACTCAGGTTCCTTATCGAAAAGAAGGCTGGACTTATCCGGCATGTTGGTTGAAATTTCGCTCAGTAAATTTTTTTTGTCAATAATTTTCAATAAAAATGTGTTATATTTTTTCTGGATTGATAGGAATTCTCATTTCCTGGCTAGTTATGTTGGTGTCCGCGTCATGTAATCAGACTGCGACACACTCTAAGCATATTGGTTGTAATGATTAGTGTTTCATGCGGAATCAGTCGAAATATCGCTATAATGAAGAAGATGGAGTAGTTGGAGGGTAATGTCATACACACAAATAGTTTACTTCTTGTAGAAGCTGCAGCTTTCGACATAGTGTGAATGACACTATAGTGTCATTCAATGAAGACCACGTCAAAATATGGCTATTTTCGTGTGAAGAACAGTACTATTTGACAAAAGAATGCTATCAGTACATGGGAATCACCTATAAATACTAACAGAACCTTCTGTGGGAACAGAAGTTATCATCTAGTCGTGTCTTTCATTGTATGTGTGTTTGGAGAGGAATTATGGTAAGTTGAAAGGTTATCTCTTAGTGAACTTAATATATATTTACACAGATTTGCGCAGTATAATATGGGTTATGTATTAATATCGTGCCATTGTTTGCTTTACTGACTGCTAGGCTAAAAAATGTAGGTAGTTCTCGTGATTGTTGCAAGTGCAGTGCATTTGAGAAGGCAATAACTCGTTCAATTTTCCTCACTGTTACGCTTAGTGCAATTGTTCAGTGTAATAATATACACATGGTTTGTGGTGATTACGAGAATTGAATTTAGTTAGCTCTATTATTATTAATCTGCCGTCTGAGACTAAACTTCATACTGCAATGTTTTTGATCACTAATAGTGAGATAAATTTCTTCTGAAATTTCCATTTACCTGAAACAGTACAGATGCAGTGTCACGATTGAGTGTCTAGGTTGCATTATATGTCATTGTTATCCTCATCAACACAACAGGTCTGCGTATCTTACAATATTTTAAGTCTTTCTCTATGTAACATTGTGCATAGTTGCTTAGAGTTGAGGCATGTTCAGCTTATATTTGATGACTACAGATTCCTAAATATGAGAATGTAGTTTGTGTAGGATTCAGAAAACTATGCTCACTAGACATTACCGAGATTGTGGATCAATTTCTAAGCTACATATTTGCAATACCTCATTAAACGTATTTAGTGTGAAATTGACGAGAGAATGATGTCTCAACAGTATGGTTGTCTCAGAATTTATCTTGAAATTTGCGTGTAATCCTCTTATGCTGGACAACTTATGAGGTCTATTTATGCATATGGCGTCAATATAAAGACCAGCTGTGGACTACAAATACTTTTAATTGTATGGGAACTTTACTTAGTATTCATAGAATCAGTGTATACTGATATATAAAATTATCTTTCATAACTTCATGTTGTGCTTCATATTTTAGGTATTTGGAGGTTATGGAATGTGAAATCAGTGGAAATGTCGATCTGTCAAAGAACGCTAATACCGTTCATCAAAATTTTCTCTTGTAAACTAAGAAAATGTTTAATATACTCTTCATTTCTACTACTTCTTTTGAACGTCTTCAGTGCGTCGCTATACTATGAGCTTTCGTAATATGTGAATTCTGATCAATGCATGTTAAGCTTAGTAGAATGCAGATTTACTACAGTATTATGAGACTGTTACTTTAATCATTCATAGGATTTTGCGTCTGTTTCTATACAATAGCACATTGTAAAATTTAAGTAGGATTTAGCAAGTTGAATAATAATTCCGTAATGTTCGTTACGCTAAAGTCACCTTATTTAGCCAGTTGCAAGTCTGTATACTGCTCAACGCCGAGTATGTAGCACAAGTAAATGTAGTAAATTAGGGTTGATAGCTACTTCATTAATCAGTTAATATGCAGTAGCATCATCAAACAGACTGTCTACTTGGCGATGAGCTAAGAAACAATTTTTATTTATTTCTGATATGCTGTTGAATCATGTGACGTCATCTAATATCCAGCATTTCTATGATCAACAACTGCAGTGTTTGAATATCTACTTTGTTAAGTTTGCCGATGATCTAACTATTTGAATGTCTGTTAACTCCTAGCTAGACTGTACTAAGATGAACAGCTCTCTATCAGGAGTCAGCAAATAGTCTTCGTCTAATGGCCTTAAACTAAATCCTTTCAAATGTCAAACTGTTAATTTCAGTTTCCGATGTAAAAGAAAGTTAAATGAAGCTGTTGGTCCCTATGACTGTTTCAAAATTGATGATAGTGATATAGAAATCAAGTCTGACGTTAAGTATCTTGGATTAATTCTTTCTACTGACCTATCCTGGTCTTCCCATGTCTTAGCGATTTCTAAAATAATATTTCCTCTGACTGTTCACATTAAGAAGTTAAGGCACTCAAGTATAACTTATCCCCTCCTCTAACAGTTTGTCAGTTCGTGAGTCTTACCTATACTTGACCTGTTCTTCTTGCTTTAATCATGATAGTACCGTGTTTCGCAAAACTCATCACATAGCGTACCAGTCTTAAATGTATACGACATACAGGCATAGTGCTTATTAGCTAGGTATGAAAATCAAAGTAAACGTTTTTACGGTGCACCCATTATTTCTAAGACTAACTAGTATGTAAGAGCTACGATTTGACCAGTTATACAACGTTTAATATATTTAGACACAATTAACCTACGCTGCTTACTTCTATGACGTATTACATGAAGCTACGTAGTTACCTTAAAGTGGTTTCCGCTGAAGGTAATCTCCCATAGCTACTACCTTAGTGAGCAACTTAACGTTATCTTTGAATTTCAAAGTAAAAGCGGACATCCTGTGAACCTTCTTGGTAAAAAGATCGTCTCCTAGTCGAAAAAAATAAATATATCCTAATCTCCACGAAAGCGTTTAGAGGTATTCATCCTATCACCTCAAATGACTCACTATTTGCAGTCACTTAAAAAGTAAGAATAAATTCACCGAAGACAGTGTGCTTATGACTTCTAGATATCATAATGTGCCATGAGGGAAAATCTACATCCGTAGGGTTATAACAATTAGAAGCGCGATATTAATCTGAAACACGACTACGATTCTCAATCACAAGACACCCTACTTAGCTACCTAATCTTCTAATCCTATTAACAGATGTTTCGCCAAGAATAAGAAGACCAATAGTTTTAGGAAAATTTATTTAGTTTTACTTAAGATCATGGTCATCCGTACATATAGCCACGGAGAAATGACAAACATCCAAAAAATAGGAATCTCATTATTTGAAATGAAACAAGCAGTCTGCATTCAGCCAATATTTTTAACCCGAATAATAATCAGCTTCTCAGCTTGCTGTAACCACCGATTGTAGACCACAACCCGAAACGCTATTCTTGCTAATTAAAGTCTTACCCTTAACTGGGATAGTTCGTACACTCATCAGATCACCATGTTATCCGCTTTTTAAGTCATTTTGCAACACACTGAATGGCTGTTAACAATGGCTTTGCTACAGGCGGTCCTAGTTCATGTATTTGGATCTAGTACATTGGGCATTATTAAACACAGGTAACACTTACCATTTAGGGATTTCTGATTGCTTTCAAGTTCCTTTCAGTTCCAAAACTGCGTACATGCACAACAGATTCACACTTCTCATGTGGCTAAACCTTGTTTGATTTAGATTCTCTGACAAAATATTTGATTTTTTAACTGATAATATACACTGATGGTATACTCAGCTTCTCGAAAAGCTTCAAAGCTCTTTCAACTCCAAACCACGCTCTGAAATCTCCAGGTTTAATACGCTCTTCGAAAAAATTGCCGATATCAACCCTGATCGTATTCTCTTCACCAGATTGACTCGTAGATTGCTGCCTGTTGTTAACATGAATGTGAAAGACATTGTAGTTTCCAGATTTCAACATATTAAGTAATCAATTGAGCCAAAAACAATAACGGCAACCAGCAAATGAACTAAAATCAACAGCTTTTGTCAGCTAAACATGTTCACGTGAATATTTTCCAAAACTTCTACACAGTACTATTTCATTAATAGCCGAAAAATGACTAAAACACTGATATCACGCATGAATGCAAGGTATGAAACAATTATAATGAAATGAATGCACTGACGTGGTGGTAAAAACTTTCGAAAACAACGAAATAACTAATTTTAACAGCAAGAGAAACAAAAATGAGTTGAACAGTAACATTTGTGAACAATATGCATCAAGATTAGTTGTGAATAACTGCAGAATAAACGTAAAACCCAATGTGTAGACGAACGGCTACAGAACTGCAATCCAACATGGACGAAAATGACCTTTGAGCGTCTCACCCAGCAATGACCTTGAACATGCGGGATAATTTCAGCCGAAAAGAATAAAAAGTTCACCAGTTGCTGAATTATTAATACTTCTCCGCATTTTTAACTGGATTATAACTGCTGCGGTGAGACTTTTGAAGATTATATTGCT